AACATCTGGCTTCAGCTCAGACGTCATGGTCTCAGGGTCCTGGGATCGAGCCCCGCATCGGCTCCCTGCTCAGTGGGAAGTCTGGTTCTCCCTCTCCCTCTGCTGCTCCCCCTCCTTGTACTCTCTCGCTTGCACTCTCTGTCTCTCAAATAAAGAAATAAAATCTTTAAAAAAAAATTCAGTCTTCTAGTAAAACTAATTCTTCTGGATAGTCTGGGGCTGATCCCTGCAGCACCCCCTCCCCCTTCCATGACTGGCATCTTGCAATGATTTCCCATCCAGCTTCCTATATGCCTAACAGTGGGCAAGGGACTCTGCCCGCACATTGTGCATTCTTCCAGACTCCGGTCCCCCTTCTTCAGGGGCAGCTAGATCTGCTACTCTTTCTAGAGCCCAGGCCAGGGGTTTCAACCTCTCCTCCAAACAGAGGTCTCTACCCTTGTCTTCCCAGGGAGAAGCATGATCTCCTCGGGGTCCTAAAACCCATAAGCTCTGGATTTCCCTGAGGGGTGGAAAGAGAGGAGGCAAGCTCACATCTTTAGACCTAACAAAGGAGGCTTGCCTTCCAGTGGAGGTGGGGAAAAAAAGCACTAAGACTAATTAGCTGTATCCCAGCAAGTTACTCTGTAATATCTGTGCTCAGTGTTTTCAGGCCCTCAACTCTGGGGGCTCCTGGCTGGCTCTGTCAGTACAGCATGTGATTCTTGATCTCAGGGTCGTGAGTTCAAGAAAGAAAAGAAATCAATCCCTCAACTTTCATATGCTCTCTTAAAAAAGTACTGATTAAGTTAACACCAGCAATGTGGCTTCTTACTAAATGGTGCTCACTAAGGTTACCATTCAACTCTCTGCAACAATATCAAAAGCCAGCTGTCAGCTTGCTCTCAGCAGACAGGCCAGGACTTTGGTTCTGGCTGACCATCCATCTGCGGCCTCCTCTCGTCCATTGGCTTGCCCACACATCCGGCTTTCTGTCTCCGGCAGCTCCTTCTCTGGATCCTTTATGGCTCACTTTACCTACATGTCGCCTGGAAGTTGCTGTTCACCCGGTCTCTGTCCTAGGCCCCCTTCCTGTCTCACATCCCAGCCCCTCCTGAGTGGCCTCCTCATTTCCACGGTTCCACCGTCTGCTGCCCCACCCAGGCCTCTCTCCCGAGCTCCAGGCTCCCCTCCAGCTTTCTAGTGAGCATTTCTTCTTTCTTTCTCTTTCTTTCTTTCTTTCTTTCTTTCTTTCTTTCTTTCTTTCTTTCTTTCTTTCTTTCTTTCTTTCTTTCTTTCTTTTCTTCCTTCCTTCCTTCCTTCCTTCTTTCTCTTTCTTTCTTTCTTTCTTTCTTTCTTTCTTTCTTTCTTTCTTTCTTTCTTTCTTTCTTCCTTCCTTCCTTCCTTCCTTCCTTCCTTCCTTCCTTCCTTCCTTCCTTCCTCCCTTCCTTCCTTCCTTCCTTTCTTAAAGATTTTATTGGGGCGCCTGGATGGCTCAGTCTGTTAAGCGTCTGTCTTCTACTCAGGTCATGATCCTGGGATCGAGCCCCACATCGGGCTCCCTACTCAGCTGAGAGTCTGCATCTCCCTCTCTCTCTGCTCCTCTCTGCCCTGCTCATGCATGCTCTCTCTCTCTCAAATAAATAAATAAGATCTTTAAAAAAAATAAAAGATTTTATTTATTTATTTAGAGGGAGAGAGTGTGTGAGCAGGGGGGAGCGGCAGAGGGAGAGGGAGAGAGAGAATCTTCAAGCAGACTCCACGCTGAGTGTGGAGTCCGGCTTGGGGTTCGATCCTACGACCCTGAGATCATGACCTGAGCCAAAATCAAAAGTTGGATGCTTAACCGACTGAGCCACCCAGGAGCCCTTCTAATGGACTCCTCTGCTTGCAGGTGACACATGCACCCCAAAGTCAACAGTTCCAAAGCATACTTGGTCTGTTCCCCCAAATCTGCTCCCCACCTCAAGCCCCCTATCTCAGCACATGATGCCACCACCCACTGAATTGCCCAGGAAGGAATGAGAAGCTTCCCCACACCCTGTGAATTAGCTGGGCTCGTTGGTTCTTTGTCCTCTCTTGTACTGTCACTTCTCACCGGCCCTCAGATGCCACCTGAGTCCAGGGCGCTATCATGTCTTGCTGGGATCACCCCCCCCCCCCTCTTAAATCATCTCCCTAAACTCTGGCTGCAATCCGTTCTCCACTCTGCAGTGACAAAGACCTTACTAAAGTGCAAACCTGACCTTGTCATTCTTTTTTTGTTTTTTTGTTGGGGGGGGCGGTGCTCGTCTGGGATATGAAACCCTTGTCATTCTTTTTCTTTAAATCTCTGAACACCCCTCAGTGCCCTCCTAACGAAGAAATCATTATGATTTCCAGATCCGTGCATGCCCTGGTCCCACCTTCCCATCCTCATCCTCTCGGACACTAGAACTTCCAGCCTTGCTGTGTGGTGCTGTATCCACCAGAGGGCAGCCTAACCAGCAGCAAGGCGGGTCTCGGCCTTCCAGAGTCCTGAGAATGCAGTTTTCCAGAGACCTCAGGCCTGATCCTTGATGTCATACATCTCAGTTTGGTGAAGGAGGCAAATGAAAAAGAAATGAACCACTCACAGAATAACTGTCGTTTGTTCCAAATGTTATTAAAATAGGCAACAGGAATAATTAGGGACTCCATTGGGAGGGTGGTCAGGTTTGGTTGGCTTGGTTTCCCCAAGACCAAGGACCAGGAGGAGGAACAATCCAGAAAATATTATAAAGATCTGATTTTGGTAATAAGGATATCTGTAATACATTTTTTAAACTATCGGCTACTAGTTTTAAAACATATTTATACTACCCAAAGCAGTAACTCAACTTCCCAGAAAACTTGTCCAGTTGAAGACTCTAGAACTTCCTGTAAAACAGAGCATTCACCATCCGTCCATCTTCCACCTGAAGTCTCATATTTGTGTGTGTGTCAGGGAGGGGGGGTGATATCCTCTCTGGTCTCCTGACTGAGCTGGTCTTCGGACTTCCTCAGTTATATACATTGTATCTTCAGGGCTCAGTGCAATTCTCCATCCTGCTGGGAAACTTTCCCAGCTGCCCTAGTCTGGACAAAACGCATGGTGCACGCCTCCATCCCAGCAACCATCATTCCGTACTTTCATGCTTTCTTCAGAGTAAAGCATTTTCCTCTGTCCATCTCCATGACGGGTTCATAGTAAGTGCACAGTATTTGTGGCTACAGAAAACATCCAACACGTGTGACCTCTGACCAGTCATTGCTTCCCTGCAAGCCTCAGTTTTCTCGTCACTTGAGAATAGCACCGCCTACAACATTGTGAGAAGGCTTACTTAAGTGTCTTATACCTATTAGTAATAAGAATAGGATTCGTTAGCAAAGGACTGTCGGGAATATCAGAACTTGGTGTATTTGCTCCAGGGTTTCTTCTCCAACTTATCTTCTTGGGTGTTTGCTGAGGGTACCATTGCATTGTAAAAACACAAGTTTTCTGAGGAGTGGACCTTGAACTTCCAGCCTCGCTGTGTGGTGCTGGGTCCACCAGAGGGCAGCCTAACATCAATGTTGCGGAGCTCAGCCTTTTCAGAGCCTGGAGAATGCCGTTTTCCAGAGAGCTCAGAAGCAACTTTCCTCCCCTCCCCACCACCGCCCCCCCCCCCCCCCCCGCCGCCCCGCCATTTGGATGAAAATCTTTATAAAATGTATTCCATGATCTCCTAGCCCTTATAAGTACATTGTTATCATGATTTCCTGTGAGTTAGCCTCACCATTTCCTGTCCACTGTAGGTATTAGCTTAATTTGGTCATTCAGTCATTCTGTAGAAAAAATTGTGTAAAGGAAGTAAGAACTGGCCATAGTCCATTCATTCATGTTTTAGAAATAAAGTGGAAAAAATATATTAAAAAATAAAAATAAAGTGGATTGCTTTCCCACTGTAAACCCAAAATAGACTTATTTCAGAAGATTTAGATGGAAAAACAAAAAAAAATGGGAAGACCCCCAACTCCTTACTCTCACCACTTTTCTGTACTTGTCAAGAGCTAGGATATTCCCGATTTTGTGCTGGGCCTCAGAAGTGCAAAGCTGAATAGAGTGATGAGCTTGCCTTTAGGGGGGTGTGCCGTCCAGTGAGGAAGGCGGACAAGCAAGAGATGGTTATAATCAAGTGTAATGAGTGCTTTAATACAAATATGCACCAGGTTCTTTGAGAGCACGCAGTGGAGGCCACTTTGGCTTGAGTGACAGGAAATGCTTTTGGGAAGAAGGATCAAGGAAGTTGGATTTTGAAAAATCGTGTATGATGAAGGGGTGTGGGTAGACGGAACAAGAAATCAACAGACAGAAATATACCTTCCTCTTTCCATATCCTTATGGACAGCAAAATTCTGGCCTCCCCAACGGTTTGTATTGTAAGCACCCAGAACAGAGCCCGGTACACAGTAGGGGCAGAGGAAAAGTTTGTTGACTATACCAACACGAACCTCTATGATTTTGTGGGACTACTGATGCTCCTGTAAGTTCTTGTCCTTATGCTACTAGCCTCTTTCAGGTGTTCACATGACCTGCTCCTTCTCTTCATTCAGCTCTCTGTTCACATTATCCACTTCATTGTCTTACCCTTCAGAGCACTTACTATTCCCTGATATCCTATTATGCTTATTGTCTGTGTCCCCCACAAGAATGTAAGCTTAATAAGGGTAGGGGTCTTATTTCACTCACTACTGTATCTCTAGTGCCTATAACAGTTCTTAAAATACAGGAGAAGCTTGGTAAATACTATTTTGAAAAAGAAAAAAGAATGAGTATGAGTCATCAACCTTAGCTTTACTATGTGGTTGAAAAATACATATATTTTTTAAAGCAAACAATGGAGTGAGTTTGCTATAACGTGTTGGGACATGTATTCGGACATCCAATATTTTACTGGAAAACTCACAAATAAAATAAGAAAAGAAAGAAACAACATTTGTACCCATTCAGCTCACATCCTCTTCCACTTATTTATCCCAAGGAAAGAGAAGAAAATCATCCATGACAAGTAGCGGCTGTCAGAAAGGCAGTTTCATGCTCGGGGGAAAGCAAAATCTCCCGCCATCAAAGCAGCGTATCTCAGCTTCAAGTACACTTTTCTTCTGGAGGAAAATTGGAAAGACGAAAATGAGCTCACGTATCAGCATTACTTCCACCCTTCCTTGTCTTTGTGGTATTTTACAGCTCTGCAAGTTATAGAAAACTGCTAGTAATACAAGTAATTCTTGTCCATAGAAAACAAATAGAGTTTGCTGGAAAGTGAGGTCACCCTACGGCATCTGTTGGTGAATTCCTTCCAGCACTTCTCCGAATATAAGTGTGGGCAACTTTGAGTCTCCTTTGGACTGGTGATAAAGCATGCTACTGCTCTCTTCAGTAATTAATGAGCTAAATAGGACATTTCACAAGTGTTTATTTTATATTTGTATGAGAGTCATGATTTTACATTTTTAAACATTATTTTTTTTTTTAAAGATTTTATTTATTTATTTGAGACAGAGAGAATGAGAGAGAGAGAGAGAGCACATGAGAGGGGTGAGGGTCAGAGGAAGAAACAGGCTCCCTGCCGAGCAGATAGCCCGATGCAGGACTCCATCCAGGGACTCCAGGATCATAACCTGAGCCGAAGGCAGTCGCTTAACCAATTGAGCCACCCAGGCGCCCCTTAAACATTACTTTTAAGATTTTATTTACTTATTTGACAGAGAGAGACACAGCGAGAGAGGGAACACAACCAGGGGGAGTGGGAGAGGGAGAAGCAGGCTTCCTGAGGAGCAGGGAGCTGGACGCGGGGCTTGATCCCAGGACCCTGGGACCATGACCTGAGCTGAAGGCAGATGCTTAACCACTGAGCCACCCAGGCACCCACATTTTTTAAAGATTTTATTTATTTGAGAGAGCGTACTCATGAGCAGGAAGGGGGTATGGGGGGAGGGGGGCAGGAGAGGCAGAGGGAGAAGCTGATGACTCCCTGCTGAATGGGGATCCTAGTAGGGGCTTCATCCCAGGACCTTGAGATCATGACCTGAGCAGACAGCAGATGCTTAACCAACTGAGCCACCCAGGCGCCCCATGATTTTACATTTTTAAAAGAATAATCATTTGGGCGCCTGGGTGGCTCAGTCGTTAAGCGTCTGCCTTTGGCTCAGGTCATGATCCCAGGGTCCTGGGATCAAGTCCCACATCGGGCTCCCTGCTCGGCGGGAAGCCTGCTTCTCCCTCTCCCACTCCCCCTGCTTGTGTTCCTGCTCTCGCTCTCTCTCTCTCTGTCGAATAAATAAATAAAATATTTAAAAAAATAAAAAAGAATAATCATTTAACACTTGTCACGTATTAGAAAAATATCACCAGAAGTATTGTCATATTATGCAATGCACCTTTTCAGTGGAAGGATACTCATTTGCATTTCCCTAATGAAGGGAATTTTTTTTCATCCCTATGACTTAAGGGGATGGAGTGGGGGGTTCTACAAAACACCCCCTTCGGGTAGCAAAGGTCAACAAGGTATTCTGAATGCTGTTGAGAACTACTTTTTAGTCCTTAAAGATTGGGCATCTCTCATGAACATGTTACTGCTTGATAGCCAATCACAAGCTTGCCTCTCTATGCTGTTAATGCTATTCTGCAGAACATCCCCAAGATAGCTTGTTTGCGGTGGATGTGTGTGACAGGAGTTAGGAGAAGAACGTGCATTTGCTGGTGAGAACTGTGACAGGACCCACAGCAACCGAAACCTTTGTTTTCAAGGGGAAGAGGACAGTCTTTTCAACAAAGGATACTGGGCAAATTGGATATCCACATGCAAAAGAATGAAATTGGGCCCTTACTTTATACTCTATAGAAAAATTTATCTCAAAATGGATTAAAGACCTAAACCTAAGAGCTAAAACTATAGGACTCTTAGAAGAACACATAGGAAAAACACATAATGATATTGGATGTGGCTATGATTTCTTGGATGTGACACCAAAAGCACATTCAACAAAATAGACAAATTGGACTACATCAAAATTATAAATTTCGGTATGTCAAGGGAAACTATCAAGACAGTAAAGAGTCAATCAATAAAATGGGAGAAAGTACTTGCAAGACATATATCTGATAAAAATTAATATACAGACTATAAAGAACTCCTACAACTCAACAACAAAACAAACAACCCAATTTTTAAATGAGCAAAGAACTTGAATAGACATTTCCCAAAAGAAGACATATGAATGGCCCATGAGCATATGAAAAGATCCCCAACATCACTCATCATCAAGGAAATGCAAATCAAAATCTCAGTGAACTACCACTTCACACCTACCAGGATGGCTATTTTCAAAAAAAAAAAAAAGGAAAAAACGAAAGAAAGAGAAAATAACAAGTATTGGTGAAGATGTGGAGAAACTGGAGCCCTCCTACCTTGCCAGTGGGAATGCAAAATGGTGCAGCTGCTGTGAAAAAGTTTGAAGGTTCCTCAAAAATGAAACATGGTATATGATGTAGCAATTTCATTCCAGGGTGTATCTCCCAAAGAACAGACAGCAGGAACTCGGATACTTTTACATCAGGGTTCATAGCAGCACTATTCAGGATAACCAAAAGGAAGAAATAATCTAAATGTCCATCAACAGATGAATGGATACACAAATGGATACACATTATTCAGCCCTTAAAAAGAATGAAATTCTGATCATGCCACAACATGGATGAACCTTGAAAACATCATGCTAAGTAAAAGAAGCCAGACACAAAAGGCCACATGTTGTGTGATTCCATTCATATGAAGTGCCTAGGATAGACAAATTAATAGAGTGAAAAAAGTAGAGTAGAGTTTACCAGGGGCTTGGGAGGGAGTCCTGGGGATTTAATGTTTAATAGGTGCAAATTTCTGTGCGGATGATGTTCTGGAGATGGATAGAGTAATGGTTGCAACATCACTGTGCAATTGAATGGTCACTGAATTGTACACTTAAAAATAATTAGGGGAGGGGGCTCCTGGCTGGCTCAGTTGGTAGAGCATATGACTCTTGATTTCAGGGTTGTGAGTTCAAGCCCCACATGGGATGTTGAGCTTACTGAGAATAAATAAATAAATATAAAAATAATTAAAATGGTAAAATTTATGTTATGTACATTTTACTACAATTAAAAAACAGAAAAGAAAAAAATTGGCATGCTACTGGAAATGACAAAGCTGAAAAGGAATTAAAACAAGAGTCTAGGCAAGACTCAAATGTTATGGGAACAACTAAATAGCAAAGACAACATTTTGAACCAGTAGGGAAAGGATGTTACTCCCATGCACCAAAAAGTATCACAGTCAAAAGAAATAGTAATATCTAAATAAATGTCTAATGTGGGGGTAGGTAGATATATTGTCCTTTTGCACCCAAACCTGATTCCACTAGCTTCCAAATATCTGTATTTAATTTGCATTGGTTGACTCTATCCAGAATTTTTTAAATGGACTCTGTATACCGAAGCTGGGGACTTGGGGGCAATGAGGTGAAGAGACCCAGGACCAGCTGGAGCGTGGAGAGCATGTCCAGGCACCACACCTCCCTTCTGTTGTTTCCTCTCTGCGGGCTCTTTCCAGAGCTCCCTTCCCTCTTACCTGCTTGCCTGGGAACCAAAACAGCTCAGAAAACAGCTGAGCAGCTTTCATCTGCTGGAGAAGCAACCCCTCCTCCTCAGAACATACTTCCCTCCCCATGTTCAACTAGATGATGTTTTTATCCAGTTATTTCAGTAGCTTCCTAACTGGTCCCCTTGCATCCATCCCTGCATCCATCCCTGGATCCATCCCTGCATCCGTCCCTGCATCAGATCCTGCATCTGTCCCTGCGTCCGTCCCTGCGTCTGTCCCTGTGTCTGTCTCTGTGTCTGTCCCTCCGTCTGTCCCTGCGTCCGTCCCTGCATCTGTCCTTGCGTCCATCCTGCATCATTCTCTGTGCTGCAGCCAGAGTGACTCTGCTAATGTGAGATCATGGCCCCCCTCTGCTCAGATGCCTCTACAGCTGTCCTTTTCACTCAGAGTAAAACCAAAGTCCTCCCAAGGCCCGACAGAATTTTGTCTCCCATTCTCTCTTTCTGCCCTCATCTGCCGGACTCTATCTGCTCAGGCCCTCTGGCCTCTTTGCTGCTCCTCTCTGTACTGTGCAGAACAGGGACCCTCTCAACTCAGGGCCCTTGTGTTGCTGTTTTCTAAGGCTGGAAAACTCTCCTTCTAGATACCCACATAGCCACATGGTTATGCCACAATGATGTCTCAGCTCCTTGAGGTCTTTGTTCAAAGTTTACCTTCTTGGTGACCTGTAAACCATCTCACTTAAAACTGAACACAGCACTGCAGGTCCCATCCTGTCTATTCCTTTCTGCCTTGTTTCCTTTCATAGAACTGGTCGGTATCTAGTGCATAATATAGTTTATTTCCTTACTTATGTTTGGTTTATCATCTTTGTTCCCATTAGAGTGTAAGTTCCATGAGGTAGGGAGATTCTTACCTGTTTGGTTTATTGATACATGACAAGCTCCTAGAATAGTGCCTGGCACATAGTAGGGCTTACTAAATATTTGTTGAATGAATGGATGGTCAACTGTTGACTCTGCACAAAGACCACTCTTAAAAACCTGTTGACCAAGCGAAGCTGATTATTACTTACTGCAGCATGGGGAAACACCACCTGATAGAGTCAAAGGGAAAGGTTGGGGGAGATATTTTATAGAGTTCTGGAGTCTATGCTCTCATGATTTAAAGTAGATTTTTCAAGGTAGGGAACTGGTTGGGATTGAGCAAAATTCCTGACATAATAGTTTAGGATTGGTGGTCATGGCGAGGTGAGGATCTTAAGGTGTGTTTTTATGAGGAAAATGTTGTCCTGATAAGTGACTTATTGGTTCCAGTAAACAAACTGTTTTCTTGATAAGATGGCTGTTTGTCCAGGTAGCAAACCACCCAGGTAACTTGGTTTACAACAGTTTTCTGCAGCACACAGTAAAGTTATTAGTTTACAGTCTTGTCTTCTGTTAAGTTTCTGTTGATGCAGGACGTCTCAGCTCCCAACATCAGTTAGTGTGTACAACTCAGTGGATTCAAACATGTTTGACCTTGATACCTTTTTTGGAAACAGAATCTTACCACGGAAGGCTAGTTCACAGAACAGATCAATAATGGAACTGCCTTGGTGGAGCTGAGACAGCCCAGATTCTGCTGCCCATGCTACTACCCCTGACCCCAGCAACATTTGAAAAGCAAATACAAATTTGGAAAACAGAAGATATGTTGCTTGAGGACATCTTTTTCCCAAACAGTGCTTTTCCAAACATTTTTTCAAGATAATAGGTTTACAAAGCTTTTGTTATGGAGTGATAATAGGCTGATAGAAGCAGCGGGTGTGTACAAGAATTGGCACATTCTTGGGGCGCCTGGGTGGCTCACTGAGTTAAGTCTGCCTTTGGCTCAGGTCATGATCTCAGGGTCCTGGGATGGAGCCCCATGTTGGGTTCCCTACTCAGCGGAGAATCTGCTTCTCCCTCTCCTTCTGCCCCTCCCCCCACCTGCATTTTCTCTCTCTTTCTCAAATAAATAAATAAATAATCTTAAAAAAAAAAAAAGGAATTGGAACATCCGTTCTGACTGGTTGATGCTCCTGCCACAAGGTTGTGAAAATCTGAGTACCATGCATGATTACATCTATGATGGAAAGATGTTAGAGGAGGCAACAAAGAAGGAAAATTGGGGGACATGTACAGAAGACAGGGTGGTGCCTTTTTGCACATTTGCTCTTCCATGGGCCAATGGAACAGGCTCTGATGAGCTGCAGTATTGAGCTGCTTGTAGAAGACAAATATTATACTTTTGCACATTTGAATACAAAAACGGCTTTATGGTGGGCAGCTTCTAA